AAAAGAGGCAGGGACAAAAGTGGTAAATAACATAATGGGTGGGCCATGCGCAGATTAAAATTAGTGTCGGATTCTGACTTAAGGCCTGCCACCAGATTCAGCTGTACAATTGAAGTACACCAACTCACTTGCCACTCATAGATAGGGTTTTGATATGAGTGATTTATTATTGTCTCTATGCTAATATTAATCTGTATTTGTAGCCACTCCCCAGTGCTAGCATCATCACTTCAGCTCCACCTCAGGTCATCAGGCATTATTTGCTCATAAGGAGTATGCAGCCTACTTCCCTTGCGTGTGCAGTTCACAGTAGGGTTTGCATTCCTGTGAGAATCTAATGCCACCGATTGACAGAAGATGGAACTCAGGTAGTAATGCAAGCAGTGGGGAGCAGCTATAAATACCGATGAAGCTTCACTTCCTCACCCATCGCTCATCTCCTGCTGTTGGCCTGGTTCCTGACCCGTCTGTGGTCCAGGGGTTGGGCCACAGACTGGCCTAGTGGACATATCTTGCCACTAAAGCCATTTAAATCCCAAGATGCCTCCAGGAAGGAGTGGGTGGGATGGGGGTCATGGCCAGACATGGCCTCAGCACTATCCTCCAGCCCCTGTGCTGCAATGCCACTCACCTGTTCTCTGAAGCCAGCTCCGTCCAAATGAAGGGCAGGGAAAGAACTTATTTCTGTCCCCCAGAAGTACATTTGCATTCGTTTAGAACGTAAGTTCTCCTCCTTAAGAGAGATCTTAGGTGAGACCCTCAGTGCCTGTGGGCCCCATAGTGGGCACTGAGCTGAGAACTCAGCCCCTATGGCCCAGCTCCTATGGCCCTATCCTGGCTCCCTTTGAATGCACTATTGCTGGACATGAAGTGAGCCCCTCTCCCTCAGCCCTTCCAAGCCACTCTGCCTTACCAGCATCCACCTACCTTCCAGTAACTGTGTGGAGTGTATGCAACCGCCTCTTGCCTGGGCACTGTCAAGCCCCAGCCCCTGACCTTCCTCCTTCCTTCCTGTACCAGTTTGGGCTTACCTACCCTCACCTCTCCAGCTATTCTGTTGTCCCAGTCATCACTCTCTCTCATGCTCCAGGCTGGAAATGAGTCCCACCCACTTAGTCAAGGCTGTAGGTATATGGTTGTGTTTGTAAACAGGGCTTTTTTTTCCCTCAGGGGAGAGTCTGCAGGCCACAGAGCTCCCGTGGTCTGGATGCCAACCTGCTCGCTCTGCCACGGTAAATCCTTGCTGGGCGTGACCACAGGCATGACTGGACAGTCCTGGCTAGAGCCTGAGTCCGCGTTACCCTTGGCTCCAAGTGAGTCCTGTGGGAGCTCTGCTATTCATACTGCTTCCACAGCAGCAAGGCAGTAGGCCGGGGAGGCTGACTGCTGGCTGTGGTGGTCCCTGCCCTGAATGCTAGGGTCGGCCTCACTCTAGAACTTCTGTTGAAGGTATTATGGCCTAGGGAGTTGGAGGGGCCTGCCTGGGCTGGTGGAGGTAGGGCCCCAGCACATTGTTCCATACACATGGGATGTTGAAAAGTTGGAGATCATGTTCATTTAGCTTCTTTATTGTTACGCCTAGTTTCTTAGAAGTTTTGCTGAACGTCATTTCGTTGTCTAGTACCAGTGTTCCCATGCTTGGGAAGAAGGAGAATTTAATTTTTACCTTATAACATTATACAGTTGATGTTATATTTCTTTAACATTGCTGATATGATGTGATTTGAATTTCATACAAGTCACAGCCGTGATGGGTAAGTGGCATATTGCATCTTTAATGGAAGGAAGTGCTGAGCAATCTGTGCCCTTGTTTTCCTAATTTGCAATTTGATCAAGTTGATAATGGAAACTGGGTGATTCCTCAGTACCAAGATAACAGAAGGCTGTTGTGGGAAATAAGGCCAGGATGTGGATTGATGCCCCTGATGGGACCACTGCTCATCGCCCGCAGGTCCATAGCCAGGGAAGGGCTCGGACTAGGCCTTCCTCGCAACCAGACCCTTCCAGAAGTGTTGGGGTTTGAGAAGTATATGGGCTGAGTGCCGAGGCTGGGGGTCTGGGCCTCCAAGCTCTCCCCTAGGGAGGGCTGTGGTGGCCTCCCTGGAGCAGGCTCTGTGGGTACATCAAGGTCACAGAGCTTGCTAGTTGGCTCAGGCCTCTCTTCTGAAAAAGGACCAGGGAAGACTTTGGAGGTGTTTTTGGACATTGGCCCACTCCCCATTGCCTTGTTGATACCACTGAGGGCCAGTACCCAAGAGAAGGGGGCACTGTTGCACATTCACATGCACCTAGACCATGCACAGTTATGTACTCATATGCATGCACACTCACACATGAAGAACACATGTACCTAGACCATGCACACTCATGCACTGCTATGTGTGCACACTCCCACATGAACACGTCCCTAAACCACACACACATACACACACATGCACCTGCATGCTGGTTCTCATGTTTCTCCATGTTGGTGACTATTTTCCTGGCAGCAGCAGATGGTTTGGCAGAAAGCTCGGGCAGCCTTCTTTCTCAGCACATCGTGTGGACCCTTGGTCAGCGGCACCATGGGGATCAACCCCTGTAGGCCCTGTTCTGTCCTCTGTCTGTCTTTTCTAATCTTTTTAATCTGCCTTTTAACCTTGAAGCCACTTTTATTTTCTCTTGGTACAACCTGTTCTCTGAAGTAAAATGTGTTTGTTGTAGAAGGATTGGAGAATACACTTGAGGAGATAGTGTGGTGCCCATGACCATCCCAGTGGGCATCAGTCCTGACGTGCCTGCACAGTCATGCTCATGGGGCACGCATGTCCAATCTCTGCCTTGCCTGCTTACCCCATTTCCTCCCTGGCTTGTCCTTTTCATGCCCTGAACTTCCTCCGCCAGCCAGAACTGCAAGTTGGTGGAAACCCCACTCTGGACCCAGCCCAGAGCCAGCTTGTGTCTAAATTTCCTCCACGAAAGTTCCATGGGCCACTGTGGTTGCCAGGTTCCCTGCTTACTCCACTTCCTGCCACCACCACCCTTTCTTTCTTAAGGGGAGCAAGACCAACACAAAAACCTGACAAGAGACAACTAGTAATTGAGTAAGCAGTGGGGGCAGCAGCAAGCAAGAGGGAGAAGTTCGAGGACCCAGGAGGGTGGCAAGGGTGTTCACATTCTCTAAGGTCTGGCATTTCCCTAGCTGGCCCAGGAGCTTGTGTGGATAGAGGGAAAATGTGTGTAGCCAGAGCCCCAGAGCATGGAATGACAGTAGAGCAACCTCGGAGGAGAAGGAAGACATACAAGGACCATAGGCCTGGGCTGTTCTTGGGACAGCTGATCTACTTTCATGGGGGCCCCTTTTGTCTGGTCAGTTGTACCCTTCCCTCACTCTTGTCAGGGCTAGCCCACAGTGTTCTTTTTCACCTGTGGTTACTAGTGAGGTTGAACATGTTTTCCCCATTGATTTTTAGTGATTTTTGTGAATCTCTTATTCATTTTTGCCCACCTTTTTAGTGAGTTGCTTATCATTTTTTATTAATTTATAACAATCTTTTATGTATAGTTTGTATATCATAAATACAGCAAAGAGTTTTTCTCATTTACCTTTTGAATTTTATGTACTTACTTATTTTTAAATTTTATTTTTGAGTTGGAGTCTCACTTTGTCACGGCTTACTGCAGCCTTGACCTCCTGGGCGCAGGTAATTATTCTGCCTCAGCCTCCCAAGTAGCTGGAACTACAGGCACTTGCTAATATGCCTGGCTTATTATTTTTATTTGTATTTTTTAGAGATGAGATCTCACTGTGTTGCCTAGGCTGGTTTCATACTCTGGGACTCAAGCAATCCTCCAGCCTTGGCCTTTCAGAAGTGCTGGGATTATAGACATGAGTCACCATGCCTGGCCTACCTTTGCTTTTTATTTGGTATAAAGACAAAATATTTTGTCACCAGCACATTTTTTGAAATATTAGATGTAACTTACACACAACAGAATGCCAGCTCTTACATTGATGTTGAATGCATGCTGACGTTGTGAGCTCCCCTGTAAACATCTTAGCAGGGCAGGCAGCCCATCATCTGGGACCTTGTTTCCTGCCTCAGTCCCTGCTTTGCCCTCAAGAGGCAACCTTTTAAGGCTTATCATTGTATATCAATTTTTCCTTTTCCAAAACTTGATATAAATACAGTCAGCACTCCATATGTTCTGGCTTGACTTTCACTGATTTGACCAACCAAGGATCAAAGCCCGTGGACACAGGGCCAACAGTGCATACTTTCCATCTGAGATTATTTGAACCTGCATACTTGGACACATGGATGCTGAGGGTCACCTGTAGCCTCTTTCAGTATTGACTCTTTCCTCTGCTCTTTCCCCTATATCCTTATGCCAATGCCTGTTTGTTTTGCTTGTTTTGTGATTCATCCATGTTTTTTCATGTATCCGTAGTTTATTATTTGTTATGGCTAGGTAGTATTCTCTTATACAAAAGCACATGTGTTTGTCCATGTGTTTGCCTTTGAGGGAAATGTGGGTTGCATCCAGGCTGGGCTGTGACCCAAGCTGCCAAGCACATTCTCATGGAGGCTTTCTGTGGACGTGCTTCCGTGTCTCTTGGATAAATAGCTAAGAATGGGATTGCTGGGTCTTAGAGCAGACATGTGTTTCTCTTTATAAGAAAGTGCCAAGCGGTTTTCCAGAGTGGCCGTACCATTCCACATTCTTCTATTCTCAGTGTCATTCTCAAAAAGGCATTGTTCACTTTCAAGATTGCATAACTCTTCTTGTGTGTTTTCTCTTAGCAGTTCCATGGCTTTTATTTTCATGTTTACCACTTAAAAGCTTAGAAGACATCTAGGACCTGGAACAGCCCTTAGGGGCTGGAATGCTGGCCATACAGATGAGAGTGGTACCTAGGGAGACACCAGGGCAGACGTTTGGGATCAGGGCAGACCTGTGGGGCCGGGTTTCTTGGAATCCGAGATCTGACAGTCTGTCTGTCTTCTTCCCATTTGCAGCAACAGCAGGAGATGCTGGCTATGAAGCACCAGCAGGAGCTTTTGGAGCACCAGCGGAAGCTGGAGAGGCACCGCCAGGAGCAGGAACTGGAGAAGCAGCACCGGGAGCAGAAGCTGCAGCAGCTCAAGAACAAGGAGAAGGGCAAAGAGAGTGAGTGTGGGAAGGTGGGGAGGAAAGGGAAGGAAATGAGTGTGGGGAGGAGAAGAGAGCTAGTGATTGGGGGAAGGTAGGGAAGGGAAGGGAGTGAGTGGGGAAAGGTGGAAAGGAAAGGGAGTGAGTGGAGGAAGTATGAGTGGGGGAAAGTGGAGAGGAAAGGGAGTGAGTGGAGGAAGATGGGAGGTAGGGAAGGGAGTGAGTGGAGGAAGATGGGAGGTAGGGAAGGGAGTGAGTGGGGGAAGGTAATGAGGGGAGGAAAGGGAGTGAGTGGGGGAAGGGGAGGGAAGGGAGTGAGTGGGGAAGGTGGGGAGAAGGAAGGAAGTAGAGGA